ACTTCCTAAACAACATGCCTCTGGAAACTCTGTGAACTTTGATAAATGTTGATAGTTACAGAAAGGCTTCAGGCTTTTTATTCATAGGGTCACTATGAGTTGTGCTCGACTTGATGGCAGTCAACAACAGCAACATTGGTTTGCATACAAAATTCATATACATTGTGTTTCACAGTTCTTCACAGTGTGTTTCCCATACATGTGTTTTGTAAAATTAATCACATTGACCTATGCCCACCATTACCTTGTCTTCTCATGTCTCCACCAGATCTTTCCCATGTCCTTTACTCCCTCCCTCTACCCAACTTATTGTGTGACCTCATGATTTCCCCCCTGGTCATTGTCACCCCTTTACTCCCACTCCTAACCCATGGACTCTCACATTTTACTAGGTTTACTATTTCTACAATAATGGTCTTATGCAATATTTGTCCTTACAAGACTGAGTTCATTCACTCAATATAATGCTCTCCAGTCTCTCCCATGTTATACAGATGTTTTCCCCCCATCGTTGCTACTGAGTGCTGTGTAGTATTTGATCATGTGAATGTACAACAGTTTCTCAATCCACTTGATTGTGGTTGTACATTGGCTGTTTCCATATTCTTGTGATGGTGAATAATGCTGCTGTGAACATTGGGCACAAATTACCATTTGTGTCTCAATTATAATTTCCTTGACACCACTTGACCAACTGACTGAAGAATGCAAAAGGTCATTACAAAGACAGAGGAGGATGAAAAGACCAAGATGGATGTCAGAAGAGGCTCTGAATATTACACTAGAGTGCTGAGAAGCCAAAGCAGAGGGAAGAAATCAAGAAATTAAGGAGCTGAACAGAAGATTTCAAAGGGCAGCTTGGGAAGACAAAGTATTGAGAGTTGCAGGATGCTTTGGGTAGAATATTAAATGAAATAGGAAACATTAAAAGAAGATGGAATGGAGAATACAGAGTCACTGTACCAAAAGGAATTGGCTAACACAGAAGAATTTCATGAAACAATGTATGAGCAAGAGCCTGTGATGATGAATAAGTTGAAGCTGCTCTGAAATAATTAACAAAAAACCAGGCCCCAGGAATTGATAGCATACCAACTGACATAATCCAACAAACAGATGCTGCCCTGGATGTGCTCCTTAAGTTGTTGTGCCAAGAAATCTGGAGGACAACCATCTGGCCAACTGACTGGAAGAAATCCGTATTTGTTCCCATTCCAAAGAAAGGTGGCCCGACAGAGTGCAGTAATTATCAATGTCATTAATATCACATGCAAGCAAGTCTGCTGAAAATGATCCAAAAACAACCGGAATAGCACATCAACAGAGAGCTGCTAGAGGTGCAGACTGGTTTTAGAAGAGGCCACGGTACTAGGGATATTATAGCTAATGTTAGGTGGATCTTGGCTGAAAGCAGAGTACCAGAGGAATGTCTGTTTTTCATTGACTATGCAAAGGCATTTGACAGTGTCCATCACAACAAACTATGGCTAGCTCTGAGAAGAATGGGAATCCTAGAACATTTGATTGTGCTTATGTGAACCTATAAGATCAGGAGGCAGTTGTCGGAACAGAGCAAGGAAACACTGCATGCTTCAGAATTGGGAAAGGTGTATGCCAGGGATGTGTCCTATCTCCATACCTTTTCAATCTATATGTAGAACAGATTACCTGGGAGGCTGGGCTCTATGAGAGAAATATGGTATGAGGATTGGAGGACTCATCAACAAACCAGCACTATGCAGATAACACAAGGCTGCTTACTGACACTGAGGAGGACCTGAAGTGCTTGCTGCAGACGGTTAAGAACTGCTGCCTTCAATATGGATTGAATGAAGCTCAACATCAAGAAAAGAAAAATTCTCACCACTGGCTGATTGGCAGCATCATGATAGACAGTGAAGAGATTGAGATTGTTGCTATCAGTAGACAGGAAATCAAAAGACAAATTGCCCTGAAAGTCTGCTGTTAAGAACCTCTCCAGAGTACTGAAGAGCAGTGATGTCAATCTCAAGACTAAGGTGCAACTGATCTAAGCCATAGCCTTTGCAATTACTTGCTATACGTCAGAAAGTTGGACAATGACTTGCAATGCTAGAAGGAGAATTGATGCCTTTGGACTGGGGTTTGGGAGAAGAGTATTGAATATACCATGGAATGGTAGGAGAACAATTTTGTCCTAGAGAGGGTGAGGCTAGGCTGTTCCTTGGACGCAAGGATTCTGAAGCTTCATCTGATGTACTCTGGGTATGTTGTAAGGAAGAACCAGTTCTTGGAGAGGGACATCATGCTTGAAAGGGTGGAGGGACAGCAAGAGAGAAAGACCCTCGATGAGATGGATTGATTAACTGAGGAGAGTAATGGGGTGGGTGTGTCAGAGAAAATAAGGTTGTACATAGGGTCGCTATGTGTCACAAGTGACTCAACGGCACAATGCTCTCCAGACCCTCCCAAGTTAGGTAGTACTTTACAAAATTATTGCTCCTGCATAATATTCCATCTTGTGTATTATGATTTCTCAATCCATTTGATTGTGGTTGGACCTTTGGGCTGTTTAAATGTTCTTGTGATGGTGAGTAACATGGTTTGCATCTGTCCTATTGCCAGTGATTTTAAGCAAGTCATCATGTGTCTACAGTTGGCCATGCAAATGTCTTCCTCTGTGAAAAATCCTTCTGTTTCTTTTGCCTATTTTGTAACTGGGTTATTAGTCTTTTATCTTGTGAAGGCACTGTGGTAGTCTGTAAACTTGGTATGAGAGACCATTGTCTGAGATGCCTTTGCCAAATATTTTTTTCCCCCAGCCAGTATATTTTATTTTCACTGCACTGAAAAAAGTTTTTATGTGCACAGGGATTTGATCTTCAGAAGGTCCCATTCATCAATTCTATCCTGTCCTGATTGTGTGCTTATCAGCTTCTTTATACCATGGGCTAGGCCTTCTAAGCTTCATCACATTTTGTCATTTACTGGTATTTATCGTTTGGGATTTTACCCCTAGGTCTCTGATCCACCTTAGAGTTGATTTTGTGTATGGTGTGAGATGTGGATTCTGTTTCAGTTTTCTGGAGGTAGCAGTCCAGTTTTGCCAGCACTGTTTGTTGAAGAGGTTGTCATTTCCCCATTTGATAGGTTTTATTTCCTTGTTGAATATCAGTGGACCATAGATGGATGAGTTAATTTCTGGGTCCTCAATTCTGTCCCATTGGTCTGTGTGCCTGTCACTGTACCAGTACCATGCAGTTTTTGTTATTACAGCTGTGTTGTAGGTTTTTTAATCAGGGAATGCTACTCCTTTTACTTCATTGTTTTCAGAACTGCTTTG